AAAATATGACAAGAACTCAGAGTTAAACTGTGTCAGAACAAATTCATCTTGATAATGTTAGATAATTTTGATAGAAAGGTATGTAATGGATTACAATCAACCAAAATAATTCAGACAGCTGTTAGTATGACAGCATTTACACAACTATGAATACTTTGTCGGGCAGCCCTTAGCCTTAATAACAGACTGTAGTCTCCTGGGCATGCTGTCACATCCAGCTTCATGCAAACCTCAACTTAATAATATTGAATAATTTTTGGTCCCAAATTTGTATCAGTTGTAGTTGGTAGTCCACTGTATGAAGAATTTTTGGGTATGATTTCTCACAGTTCCCTACTTATCTTGCTGGATCTGTCCGCTGCTTTTGACACTGTTAACCACCAGATCCTCCTGTCAACCCTATTGGCAAAGGGCATCTCAGGAACCACAGGCCAGTGGTTTGAGTCTTATCTCTCAGATAGGTCCTTCAAGATATCTTGGAGAGGTGAGGTGTCCAAGCAACAACATCTAACTACTGGGGTGCCTCAGGGCTCCGTTCTTGGACCACTTCTCTTCTCGGTCTACATGGCATCACTAGGTTCTCTCATCCGCCCCGGAACTGCTTCCAGTGTACAACAGTGAGCGCAAGCTACATTAAAGTGATTATTACGTTTTGAATATGGATATTTTTCTTACAAAAACGCATCAATTCACTACAGAAGGCCTTTGTTTACCCCCCCGGAGCCACTTTTTTTTTTATGGATGGGCGCATTTTAATTAAGTGCTTTTGGACTGATGCATGCAACACCCGCTGAGTGCCATGAAACAGGTTGAAAGATCAAAGACCATTTTTTATATAACTCCGACTGGATTCATCTGAAAGAAGAAAGTCATATACACCTAGGATGATTTGAGGGTGAGTAATTTATGGGCTAATTTTCATTTTTGGGTGAACTAACCCTTTAAGCTAACTGAGACTTGTTATAGCACTTGCATATCATTGCTCTTTTGTTGATTTTGATTGCTTCCATTGTCCTCATTTGTAAGTCGCTTTAGATAAAAGCATCTGCTAAATGTAAATATATATATAAAAAAAATACCTTGCTATGTGTACTGCGTTGGGCTAACCGAGACTTGTCATTTGCACTTACAATTATTCGAAATTTATTGATCAATATAGAAAAGTGTTTTATGGGAAATCAAGCAATTTTATTGTGTTGTGTATAACTGAGCTCAATTTATAAACTCATGATGAAAAAAAAACTAAAAATACCAATAATAAATAGGAGTAAAAACTGAATAAAAAATAAAATCTAATTTAAATTTAACCTTAAACAGTAATTATAATACAATATCTACAGACACAATCTTACCATGTATGGGATGCCTCATTCCAGGCTGCTGAGGAGGTATAACCTGCTGGGCAGGTATCATTCCTCCCACTGCTCCACTAGGTGGAGCCGAGGCAGCAGCTGCTGCAGTCTGCCCAGGCCGAGGGATTAGCCTCTGGTACCTAGGCAGCTGAGCCCGTCTCTCTTCCTGAATTGGGGCCAAGACAATGACAATGAAATCAGACACGTGCAGTAACAAGAACACACTTTGGACTGCATGTATTCTCACAACATCAGCTAACTCTTTCATTTGTGCTTCAGCAATATTTCATAATACCAGTTAATGCATTCACAATTACTTACTGTCAAAAAAAGTAGTTAGAGCAAAACTCAAACACTCACCAGCGAGATATCCTCATCAGGGTGCATCAACTTACTGGTAGCACTCAAGGTGGTGAGGGTGGCTGGCTTACTTGTGACTGTGGCAGGGGGCTTGGCCACAGTGCTGGAGGAGGCAGCAACAGAGGGAGTGGAAGAAGGCTGGGTGTAGGCTGGGAATGTCACCTTAGGAGAATCAGAGGTGGTTGATGACGGTCCTAATACCATCTGCTGCGCCTGAAATGAAAGCAACATTTTCAAAACATGTTCGCAATTAAGGCAAAGGTCCTCCCCAATCACAGTGCACACTGCCAAGTCATCATCATCTACATAACCTCTAAAGTCCAAACAGTGTTGCCAGATGTATGATAATTATAGTATTTGTACGATAATCTTGACCTCTGTACGATGTACGATCAATAATGAAAAACATCCCATAACATACGATAATTTCAGAATTTTGTGACACTTCAAATGATGGTGGCTTTAATCATAAGGCTTCTTATACTCATTGATTGTGCACACCTCAGAGTGTGTTAAAGGGTCATGAAACCCCGTTTCAGCACTGGTTAGTTCTCAGATCTCTTATTACAAAGCAAAACCAACACTCTTCTTCCATCCATGAACGTTTCTCAGTTAATGTGCGCGATGTCTTCTCACTGTCTGAAGCGTCGGTCATAGCAAATCAGCACATGCTGTTGTGAATAATGATGCGAAGCGTCTTCTCATAGGATAAGAACCGCGCAGTCTCATGCATAATTTAATAGACACCGACGCGTCATCGATGAACTATCGTCCTTTGCCACGTCACAAATTGTGACGTCAACACAATGTCGATTTTAAACCTGGAAGATGAAAATAGCACAAAAAAGCTTAAAACAATGTCGATTTTAAACCTGGAAGATGAAAATAGCGCAAAAAAGCTTAAAATTAACCAGTTTTCTCCAACAGTTAAAATTATCGGATGCTAACATTGTCTTCCATTATGTGCAACACAAACACCTCTGCTAAAATCTCAGAAAAAGTAGTCTGGGGTTTCATGACCCTTTAAGAATGCGGGAGGGTGCCCTGCTTTTAAGTCAATGAGCACTATGTTGCGGTCCATGAGGGCATAAAATCTGTACCACAAAAGGACCCCCACCCTCAACATCTGGCAACACACAGGCTTCCAATGACAGTGACTCAGAGGTGGAGTTTGGACCTTTCCACTAAGATACGCCTACTTATTTATCTATTGTGGTAATCTGCAGGTCGTGTCAAAAAGTTGTTGGTAGAAAAATAACTGTATTCTGTATGTTTGACTTGTGTATGATAATTTTCTTCCAAATACAATAATTTTGAGTTTCTGGTACGATGCCTGGACGTTTCCAATCTGGCAACACTGAGTCCAAAGAGGGTATTATAGGTAGTACAAAAACTCTTTGCCACAAAAAAATTGTTTAAAATAAGACAATTACAAATAATGTATATTTAACATGCCCAATGCAAAAAGCATATACATGCATGAAGAAACTAATCAAAACACCAACCAACTAAGTATCTGCCTAAATATAAGCAGCTTTATATGCATGTGCATATCTACTAAATGACAGAGACAAGCATATCTGATCTGCATGTTGTGCTGATGTAAAGAGAAGCACACAAACTAGTGCGTACTTGGGAAGAGCTAGGGAACAGAGGCTTAGAGGAGGCAGACTGTGTCTCTGCACTCGCAGGGGCTGCGCTGGGCCTCGCAACACCAGTCCCCATCTGAAGCACAGAGAGAAAGGATAACAAAAACAGTTTCCTTTGACTCCCTGAGAAAACTGACCCTTGAATTTATTCAGTTAGTCTCTTTAGTGGCAAGATCTGTTTTTACAGAAAGAGAAGATACAGACCCTTAACCATATATTCTCACAAAAACTGCACCTTTGGGCGTAGAACAACTTGTCACTAGGGTAGCACCCTCAAACTGACCACTTTTTAGTGGAAGATAAGGTATAATGTTATCTCTATAAGGGTACTCCTCCAATTGCAAGTTATCGTAACCTTAAACATACAAATTCTTATTTTGCTGTGACACTAGCTATTGTCCTTTACTGGCACTGTAGTTGTCAAAAGAAAAAACTTGTCTAATACAATGACTACTAACTTTTGATTGTTTCTTTAAATCCAATACCTTTTTTGATGACCCCTTAAGTTTATTTATTCACAAACAGTGGCTACACATACTCAACCAGCAAATAAGTCTGGTTCTATATTCAGTACCTGCACAGCGCTGGGGAAGAGAGGTTTGGATGCAGCGGACTGTGTGGCGGGTACAGCTGGTCTGCTGGCCATTCTAGGAGCAGTGATAGGGGCTGCAGGTGCCATAGGAGGCATGCCAGGCCTGGCAACATGAGGTGGCATTCCTAAAAACAAGAAAATGATCAACTACCACAACCGGTTGACTATAGGTCTGTAACGATTAACCGCGAGCCAGTTGAAAATTACGGTGACGCATTGCTGCCGCACACATATTTTTTTCCCCACTCAGTTATGTCGTTTTAACGACATCTTTTCTCGTAAGAACGACATCTTTTCTCGTTAAAACGACATCTTTCTCGTAATAACGAGATGTTTTCTCGTTAAAACGACATCTCGTTAAAATGACATCTTTTCTCGTAATAACGAGATGTTTTCTCGTTAAAACGACATCTTTTTTCTCGTAATAACGACATATTAAGTCATAAAAACGACATGTTTTCTCGTTATTATAGATATATGGTACATTATGTGAGCCAGCTAAGCGACTGTCCGCGCTGCTGTCGCCACAGTCTGTGTTTTAAAATTTCAATTTAGTTTTGTTATTTACATTTACATTATATTTCAATTTTGTCATTTAGCAGACGCTTTTATTCAAAGCGACTTACAAATTAGGACAATAGAAGCAATCAAAACCAACAAAAGAGCAATAATATGCAAGTGCTATATTAGTATATTATTATAGTGTTATATTTCAATTTTACAAAGAAATGTGCAGCATTTTGTCCAAGCAATAATAAAAGGACACATTTAATTTATAATTTGTTTTAAATCTCATTCTGTAAAAAAAAAAAAAAAATCGTGAATCAAATCGAATCGTGAAATCAAAATCGTCAATCGAATCGTGAGTTGAGTGAATCGTTACATCCCTAGCTGACTAGCATTTTTTTTTTCTCAAGCTGATGTAAAAAAAATGCCTATTATCAATAACGAAACCACTATGCTTACACATAAACAATTACTCATGCACCAACATTTTGACAAACAAAAATATCCAGTTGAAACAGCAAAATCAATGCTTGGCCACAATAGTTTTGCAGGGCTAAAAATAATTGACCAAAACTGTTAATCAAATAAAGCAGTTTAATTTACCTGAGAATAAGACAACCTGAACAGCACAAAGAGTTTAAATACCCTATTACCAACATACATACTTTAAGTTTGGTTTCGATAAATTAATTTCAGTGCAACAATAAACAATGACTGTTTATTATTAATATAAACTGGGCTTTAAGTAATTTATCACCAATAATTGTTAACAACACTGACCTGGTGGCATGCCTGGCATCATCGGAGGCATTGCTGGACCTGGGGGCATCATTCCTCTCATTGGCATCATGCTATGCAAAACAGGACCAAAGATAAATCACTGGACCATATAATATATCAGCTTATAATTCTGTAACTGAAAATTAAGACCTACCCAGGTAGCATGCCTGGCATTACTGGTGGCATCCCAGGAATCATTGGTGGGATGCCAGTCAACATAGGTGGCATGCCTTTAGGAAGAGATAAGAAGTATTAATGGGGCACACTTTTGTTTGAGAGGTATTTAAACTACTTAGGCTATTTTAAACTATTGACATGCACACCTGCATAGCCAGCACGTGGCATGCCTTGGGCCTGAGGACCAGGATGCATGCCCGCCTGGGTCATTGGGGGCATGTAGGCAGCCTGAGGCTGAGCAGCAGGCTGCTGAAATGATGAAGGTCCAGCTTCATCATCATCATCGTCCTCATCAGAATCATCCTGGTCCTGCTTCTTCTTCTGACTCTCTGCTCGGATAGCAAAACAAGTTTATATTTCTGTCACAAATCATTCTATAAATAGTTTCTACACAAATTAGTTTGCCTAACAACTATAAGACCATACCTTGTGACTTTTGTTCAAGTACTCTTCTCCGATCTTGTATGTCTTTTTCTGGAATACCCTCCATGCCATAGATTTCCAGTTCTATGTCTGTTCTTCCCGGTATAGCATTAGGAACTGCGTCTATTGTTTCTTTGTGCACCTTTAAAATACAGATTAAATAGCTCAACAACCTTTACCAAACGTCAAAGCAAATGTATCAGTAAACACATCACCACTGTCCATACCTGCATGCAGTGTATGGCTAATCCAGGACCGGTGTACAGCTTCTTGTGACATATATGACATTTGAAATGTTTGGCTTTTTGGTGCTGAATGAGAATCTTTTCATCATCGAAATCTCTGTTGCAATACCTGGAAGTCTGATTAAGGATCACACTGAAGGAGAGGAGAGAACGTTATGAAGAGAAAGAAATACAAGAGCTTGAGATCGAACTGCATTGTGTAGAGAACAAATAAATGTGCTGATAATAGTGAGGTAAGCATCTGACTGCGGTTATAGATGATTACAGCCCAGAAAGCGCCTATGATGCGCAATACGCTGTCTGATGCGAAAGCGAGACACGGCTATTGTGTCAAAAATACGCCCTTAACCGTAATGAACAAGATTTACTAAATGGCATTAAGAAAAGAAAATGCACCAATATGAAATATAAAGGTTTCTGTTTTTCTTCTGACATGTAATAAATGACTGCAATGTGAAACTGACAGCATGCGCTCAAATTCACGATCACGCTGCTGTAACGGCACTGAACAGGCCGCATTGGTAAATGAAAAGGATACCAGCACCAGGGCTTCAATTGCTTCTTCTTCTTTCGTCCCATTTTAACAATAACTCGTTATTGTCTTCTAAACCAACAGGAGAAAATGACTCAAACCGTCACCAAACGCAGCTTTTTGATTTCAGTTCGGAACACACACAAAAAAAATGGCGCGGCTCCGCTTTTGTCTCTCACCCACAATGCAGCGGGATACTTCTTCTTCTTCTTCTTTGAGGTTTAACAACGGCTTGCATCCAAGAGCGTTGCATTACCGCCATCTTCTGGATTATTCTTCTGAGATGTTATTCCAGTTTATTTCCTCCAGCTTGTTCTCCGCGATCATATTCTCCTCATCAGACACGTTCTTTAAGAAATGACAAATATTTTTTCCTGCTTTGTCTAATCACACCACTTTGCAGTATATCCTGCCCCTGCCAATCTCTTCTTAATTCTTCCATCATATTTCTCCTCTGTTCTTCATAACTTCTGCAACTTAAAATTACATGTTCTATGGTTTCTAATGTCTGACAATACTCACAAAAACCAGTAGGATGCTTCCCTATAATGTGTAATGTACTAATTACTGTGTCCTATTCTTAATCTTGTCATCAATATTTCTTCTCTCCTAGTCCCTCCCCAGTTCCTCTCTGTACCAACTTTATTTTGAATGGCATACACAGGGGCGCTGCTAGCAATTTTGGTCAATTTATAAATAAATGAATTATGTTTCCATCTTTGATGCCACAGTTTTGGAATTGCCTTTTTCTGTTCTAAAGAAGGGCGTGTCCCAATACATTTGTCCATATGTATGTACAAGTCATTGGTGTGATTGAAAAGGTCGAGGACACCAGAGAGGAGGAGGAGGAGGAAGAGGATGAGCAAGAGCAGTAAGGAGTGGAGGAAGAGGTGAAGGAAGAGGAAGAGGAGGAGGATGAGGATGAGGGGCAAGAAGACAAGGAGTCTCAGATGAAATTCGTGCCACTAGTTGACCATGTCCTTGTCAGTGTTATGACTATGAGGGAGGCTGGGCAATGAGTTCAGCCAAACTTACAGTAAGTTGCTTCACCGTCGCCTCGATCATAAGAACCTTCAGGGAGGAAAACAGGTAGGTGTACCTCAGTGTACTCTACTGTAACTTTTGAGTGCTGTACTCTGTTACAACACATGCATCAAATTGCCTTACATACAGATACAGTTTCTGTCTGCTCCATTTTGTATGGAAATACAAATGTTACAGTTACAGTAATCAGTACATCTATTTTTGTAGGACACAGAGACGATGGAATGGAAGAAGCCTGACTAGACATTTCAGCTGATGCGTGCCAGGGGTGGATCAGGCATGCAAGAGGATTTCCCCCCCGCTGCCTAGCTAGGGCCAGTATAGCCTGTGATGTTGACGAGATTCTCTGGCCTGACCCAGAACAAAGATGTGATGCTGGGGCAGAATATTTGTTGTTGTTGTTTGGTGTATTGTACTGTACAGTACATTAATTAATAAAAAATGTGCAAATGTATACACGTGTTCATTATGTGAAAAGAGTTCCTTGAGGGGGAGAACCACAAGCAACATAACTTATTACTGGTTTTTGGTTTTGGTTTTTGTAGTATTGTTTTGAATTTATCTTACCAGTGTGTAAGACTATGTTGTAGTGTGTGTGTTTTTGATGGCTTGTGTGTGTGATGTCTGAGGCCAAAGTTTGGTTTTTCAGTGTGGTTTTTGAGGGCTTGTGTGTGATGTCTAAGGGCAAAGTTTGGTTTTTCAGCAAGAGTGAATGGTTTTGAGTGTAGAGCTTCATTTTGACCTGAAAATAGGATGTTTGGGGAATTGGGTGAGATGTTATGGATTTGTGTTTACTGTTTTGAGAATATGAGGCATAGTTTCAAGAAATGTGTTTAAGCAATCGAGAAAAACTGTAATAGAAATGCTTCACTAGGGCAAACAAAAAAAATCCTAAAATAATAAATAGGATACCCCATAGCAACGTATTCCTTGGTTGCTAGCTACCTGTGCCCATACAGCATACAATGTTAAAAATGTTCTACATTATGAACCTTAACCCAAAAACCTTTAGCTTCATACACTGTAGATAATTGTGACCCTGCCTGTGGAAACCCAACTAAAGTATTTTTTTTTTAAGGGGGGGTTCATTGCGATTTCACTGTTT